TTTTTTGACGAAATTCGACTTTTTTGAGGGGGCCTTAATGGAAATTATCAAAAATTTCGGTCAAAAATGGGAGCCGAAGAAAAAACCAATAGTGTTTCTGAGAGAGCAGAAGACGGGCTATCTCCCCCCTGCATTTATCTCGATTTCGAAATTTTTGACGAAAACTGACTTTTTTGAGGGGGCCTTATAGAGTAAAACATAATCAAACTTGCTATTTCTTGAGTTTGAAATATTAAAATTAAATTCAGCATCCTTCAGCGCAGAGAATAAGCGTGGAAAAGATCAAAGAAGGCACTTTCTGTGCTAATTAAAAATAAGCGCGCGTCGAACGTAGAAACAGTGTCTAACATGGATGACAATTATAATAATTAGCTGATTTTCTTTAAAACACAAAATTATCATTCATACAAAACGTCCGAATTGATGCATGAGTAACGGTTGAGCAAGAAGGCTTCCTACAAGAAAGTCAGATTCAGCACGCATTTTCCATTTATTTGAAATCCTTTTTCTGCAATGATTATATCATTATATATTCTTTGTACGAATAATTAGATTGTTCTTTTCAGAATATGTGAAATAATTTATCAGGCAAATGTCCTCTGTCCCTTAAACACGTTTTAGTCAGAAATTTTAAACGTCATTGTAACAGTTTTCATACTAGAACTGATACTGATCAAAAATTTCAAAAGCAAATATGCAAATTAAAAGAAAATATTATCAAAAATAACAACGAGAACTTTTTACGGTAAAACAGCCGTGAAACTAGTGGAACGATGGTCCAGAAATAAAACTGGTCGTAGAGTTTAGTATTTTGTTTTGTAATTTTTTTAACAGCTCTCACACTATATGAAGGAACAATAAAAAAATGCTGTTGCCTTCGTGTGCCGACAAAGTGTGGAGGTAACTGGTTATACAATAGTAAGTCCGAAGTAAAAAAAAGCGAGTTTTGTATTATTTCTTTTATTTAACCAAACTTGCCAGAAAAACTTTTTTGGACCTACTCCGGTTTTTGAAACAACCCCTCCCCCCCTTGTTTTAACTTCTTGGCACCGCCACTGTCTATGTACAATAAAAAACATGTTTATTTGCTATCACCGTACCAGCTTTTGAAATGCTGCGTAGAAACTTGACTCAAAACAATAAATGTGAATAAGCAGCAACATCCGTTATATAAATTGAGAAGAAAGAAAAAAAATATCTCACATACAACTAAGGTAAATTCAAAATTTAAGCGCAATTTATTTTTCGGTTTTTATACATGGTTTGATAGAGCTCATCGTGCTGAAACAGAGTATGTGTGTTTTAAACTTTGAAAAAAAGTAAAAAAAGAAAATTTTTTAAAACCTGAAAAATCCTCTAAAATTTAAAAACAAGCAAAAATGTCCAAGTTAATGGTCTTTGATAAATTTGAAACATTCTTATTCTTGTTATACGTGAACAACTAAATCAAAAAATGTAGTTTTCACACCATTCGAATATCACATGATCCAAAGATTTTTAGTTTTTCATCGACAGCGAGAATCCCACATCCATATCTGGCAAAAGCATCAAGTCCTTTTAGATAAGAGACGAAGCCAAAATTTTTATCTCATTAGACTCGCTTTGTCGGCACAGCAAAAGTTACGGATCCTTTTTTTGGCAAATTTTGTTTTTTTCGTTGCCAAGAAGTCCGTACTTTTTCGGTCTTTTGAAAAATTGAAAACCCAGGATTTTCACTCAAAATTCATAATAGCCTAATAATTCCGAAACACACATGTTTCAACTCAGTCTTTTACGCTGATTTCAAAAATGACATTATTTTTGACGAAAAGTTGGATTTTGATAGAGGAAAGGCTAAAGCACGAACCCAATTTCATTGTTTTTTCGCTAATTTCGAAAAAAGTGAATTTCTGGGCAACGAAAAAAACAAAATTTGCCAAAAAAAAGGATCCGTAACTTTTGCTGTGCCGACCAAGCGAGTCTAATGAGATAAAAATTTTGGCTTCGTCTCTTCAACACGCCATAAAACCAATGGTATCTGCTAATGCAGATAAGGTCCTCCAGTCACAAATTCTTTCCGAATGTTAGCGGCGAAAATCTCATTTGCGGATCAAAATATGCAACTTGTATGCTCTTTCCAGCTAGCAGTATGAGAACGCTTGATACTATTAGATAAAGTCAAATTTCACTACTCGGGCACTCCTAAAAATGCTTCAATTCAGAACTTATGGCCGCGGAAAAACCATGTTTGGAATAATTTTTCTATGGGCGACAGCGGTCTTTACACACCTTTAGTAGGACTATCGATTGCAAATAGTCAAACTTTCCTGACTTTTAGTTAATGTAATACTGGACAGACCTGTGCGGAAGTACCCAAATAGCGTAACCATTGGCGCTTAACGGCGCCAATAGGAGCGTTGCTATGGGCATAAGAATAAGGTGAAAAAATGCATAGATTATGTCGACACCAGAGAAAAGTTAAAATCAAATTATAAGATTTATGTTGTCGACATATTCATTTAATCTTATGCATATAGCTAAATTTTCTCGGCAATCAGTTCACCTCGGCAAAAGTGACCAGTTTTTTAATGACATCGATCAAAGAAGGTAAAATAAAGAAGTCTACATTTTCATGCATAACCAAGCACATCCAGCTTCGACTTTTCGTTCTTTTTGACCAGATTTTCCTAGTTCCCCATTGAGTTTATCTACGTAGAGAAAAAACATGGGACATTGTCTTAAGGGCAAAAATAACAAATATTAACAAACTACTTACTATCGATGTCTTCTTGTTGTTCATTCTCTTTGTCAATCTCTGTGTAAAGAAAAAACATGCAACAAAGTGATATTTCAGATAAATGGCAACAAAAACAAGGATCATACCAGTTTTTCTTATCCATGCCATATAATTTGTGTAAGCTTCATCAATAATTTGCATTTCATGCAGTTTTTTAAAATCCCCGCGCTTCTTTGCTTTGTCACTTTCTTTGGAATATTCACTTAAAAGAGAAAAACAAAGTGTCACGACACAAACAGCTCCGTGCACACATTTCAGTTAGTTAACTTTTGATATAAGCAATATTTACCTTGTGAGAACACCCAAAACCAGATTCACCGCCATAAACGATCCCACAATAATCAGTGAACCGAAATATATCCAACTCCATTCCCTGCCAACAGTATCATTAATCTAAACACACTAGACTATGATTAATTTTGTGTAACAAAAAGTCAACTATCTCCCTCTCAAAAAATCACATACTCTGTACATAATTGGCGTCCATCCTTCCATTGTAATACATTGAAAAACGGTTAACATTGCAAGACCAAAATTATCAAAACTAATAATACCATACCAAGGTCCCACCCATCCAGCATCTTTACATTCTTGACCTTCGGGACATTGTCGGCCTGTGTTTTCTCCACACGGTCGAATTTCGTCCGGAGAAGGCATTATATCTTTAGAAAAAAAACACAAAAGAGAAATTTAATGTGGATCTAAATTGAGCAACATTTAAACCTCATTTCAATTACCAGTTCCATTATAGTAACATGTCATATGCATTTTACCGCAAAATAATTCTAATCCAATAATTGCATAAATAATAATAACAAATAAAACTAACAAAGCAATATGTAACAAAGGAACCATAGCACGTAATATTGAATTATGAACAATTTCTAAACCTAAGGAAACAAGTTATGGATAGCATGTATTTATCTCTAAGAAAAATTGGGATATTCAAACATACACTCTTCTTAACAAATGTTTTGGTTTGTGCTTGTAAAACAACGAAAACTATCAAAGGATGGGAAATTCGCTGCAACAAAACCAATATCTTTACAATAAAACAGAAAAAATAAATAAAATACAACATTCGCCAAGCAGGAAAGAATTATAGCACGATTCGTTTGCCAATTTTAGAAACATAAGCGTATAAAAGAAATTTTGAAAAAATAAAAAATATTTACTGGGTACTCCATGAACTAGTTTTAATGCCCGAATAACACGAAATGCTCTCAGTGAGTTTACATCAAATACTTGAACATCATATTTGAGTAAGATCACGCTTAAGAAGCTAAAACAAAAAATATCATACGCGTTTATAATGAAAAGTAGCGATATGTTTTATCTCTTCAAATTTTTACAAAACATACTCGACAATAATAATGGCAAAATCTAAAATGTTCCATCCATTTCTTAAATAGGCATTTGGATGTAAACAAAAACCATAGGCAATGACTTTTAATATGGCTTCGAGTGTGAAAGTAGCCAAAAATAAATATTCAATGTGTTCCTAAAAAATGTAACAGAAGTATATAGCAAAGAACTCTGCGTCGGATTCACGCTAGGAAAACCAATTCAAACAGATTTCTTTGTAAGTTGAAGTTTAAACCTAAGTTGATTCGAAAAACAATTCTTAGAAAAGAAACTAGTATGTTAATCAGAGACAGAAACGGGTCAGGTCGATTCGAATCGGGTTCGGGTACGAAATTTTCGAAACTTAACTCGAGTGACCCGAAAGGTGGCCTATTTCTTAGGTGACCTAATAAATTTTTCTGAAAAAAGAGCAGAAGCCTACAGCTTTTGTAATAGTCTAGAACGTTTCTCTGATTTTTTGTCCAAGTGGTAGTTCATTCGAATAGTGGTAACCCGAAACAGGAAATCTTTCTCAATCGTATATTGTCATAAATTTATATTGTCTCCCTCCCCCTCCCATAACAGAAGGCCACCTGGTCTTCTATTTTGTCCCGCAAGTCGAGTTCTAAAGGGTGGTCTTCTATTGCGGTCAAATTTTGTCGCTTGCTAGTAGTTCCAACGGTAACCTCACGTACTTGAAGTTCGTCCTCTATTAGAAGTACAGTTTGGTGAAGCTTTTTTGAGAATTCCCGTATAGGGGGCATTTTCCGGTTTTTTTCGCGGACATAATAGAAGACCAGTGGCCTTCTGTTTGGCTTTCAAGTCATATAATCGGCAGTGGTCTTCTAATAGGGGATGGTCTTCTATTATGGAGGGGGGTTAGAATGTTTCTTCCTTCCTGCTTTGACGCTGTGCACTGTACACTGTACATTGTACAGTATTGCACTATTGAAGCGAAACAAGAAAAAAGGAAACATAAGTAAACCCAGAAAAACGAACGCCTTAAATATGCATCGCATTATGATGATTAAACTTCATGACAATATACGATTGAGAAAGATTTTCTGTTTCGGATTACCACTATTCGAATGAACTATCACTTGGAAAAGAAATCAGAGAAACGTTCTAGACTATTACAAAAGCTGTAGGCTTCTGCTCTTTTTTCAGAAAAATTTATTAGATCACCTAAGAAATAGACCACATTTCGGGCACTCGGGTCAAGTTTCGAAAATTTCGTACCACGTCGGATCGGGTAAAAAAGCCTCCGGATCGAGTTGGGTTCGGGTCCACACAGAAAATATTGATTCGGGTCGGGTCGGGTTCGAGTAATCCACCTAAGACCCGATTCGGTCTCTGACGTTAATGCAAGAAAAATACTTTTTGGAACATGGATAACACATATAACATTCAAAAACATTGAAACCACCCTCACAATCTAATTTTGTTACCTAGATTTCTAACACACAATTAAAAGTTGCAAGAAAGTCTAAAAGGAAAGGTGCTTAAGAGTATCCCCTCCCTCCTTTTTGACCTTCTTCGAGACCTGGGAAGTCGATGTCGGATCGAGGCAAAGTTTACATCGGAGATAGGACACCGAAAAAGAAAACTGATTTATTTTTGCCCAGAATTTCTAACGAGCTCTTCTAGTTTCTAGAAAACTCCAGTTTTCATCGGGTCGCATTATGATCCCTCGAAAAAATGGTTCGGTCGGGCTAAAAACTTTATCACAGATACTTTAGACCCTATCCGGTAATTCAAAGTTACAGCAAGATTTTTTTTTCGCTTTTTCGGCATGGTTGGATTTCAAAATTTTAGTCTCGGTAGTTTTTCAGCGTGAGAATTCGAAAAAAAATAAAGTAGTCAGATAGGACAGAAATCCACATCAGTCGACTCAGTTTTTGTGCGCTTGATTCTGAATATGCTGTTTTTATTGCTCAAAAGGTGCGTTCTGATTGAGAAAATTGAGAATTATGCGCAGAATTCAGACTTTTCTTCTGATATAGAAAATATTGACTTTTCTCGAAAACAACTAAATATTTCTAAAAAAACGTCGAGTACTATTTTTCCTACAAGTATACTGATTAGAAGCAAATAATAACTAATGCTTAGTCTTTCAAACTAGATACGTTTGCAAATTGGGCAGTAGGGTTTTTACGATTCAGGTCATGTTCCGTGCATCTGGCGATCAGTTTCAACTTCAAAATTTTGAAATTGAGTTTTTTGTACTCAGTTTTCGATGGAAAATCAGAAAAAAATAGATTTGGAAGTTTTAAATCTTTTCACCAAAGAATGACGTTTTAAAATGTGGGATCGTGTTTTTCCGATGGAATCCGATGAGCTCTAACCAACCGTGCCGCAAAAGCGTAAAAGAATCTTGCTTAATTTCGAATTACCGGCATCTTACATAAGGGCTCTGCTTTTTAGGCCATTTGTGGAGATGCTTATATATCTACAAAAACTCATCAGAAAATTCTGGAAGGCGTCTTATTGTGAATAGCACACTTCCTTCTATCGCACTAAGTATAAGGAAAAGTTTTGAATATATAGCAATGGAGAGAAAAATTTACGAACCCAAAAAATTGAGATTTTTGAGGCTTTGAAGGAAAAACTTAAAAACTGCATAATTTTTTCAAGTAAGATCATCATGAGCTGAGAGTGGTCTCATTTTATAACCCAGATTTTCCTCTATATTAGACTATGTTCAGCGCAAAACGAAACTTTACTACATAAAAGAGGGGAAGGGGGGCACCCTTTAAACGGCGAAAATGCGCAGAAAAACGCTTTTTTTTGATAGATTGAACTCTCTATGCTTCTCGATTTATATTCTCTCAAAATCTAATTTTCATGTTCTGAGTTTTTCAATTCTTAATTATGATATCAATTAAACTTACAAGTCTACTCTTCGGTGATGTATCATGATTCGGTAATGGTTTATTCAATGCCAATGTCACAAAATTACAAAAGATTGTTAATAACACCAAATATTCAAATGGTCTAAAGAAAAACAACCGTACTGATATGGAAGATTTGAGTGAGAGTATGCATAGGTTGAGGGTTCGTTTTGTCTCAAAATCACTTACTTGCATTCCACTAATCTAATACATGTTTTTCTTAATTTATTATCAAGTGTAAGACAAAATAAAGCACGTCTTGGATGTTTCGGTTGTGTTTGACGTCTTTTTCGTTTACGAGCTTCGATTTGTCGCAAAACATCTCGCCATTCATCGCCATCTTTTCCTGTTCGAATGTCTAACAAATGGACAGTCTTTTTAGACGCCGCTTAAAAGAAGATGATGGAAAATATAAAAACATAGTTAATAAAAATGCTTTTTTTCTAGCAGAAATGTGAGTCTACCTTTCTTTTTTTGTGGTAATGATGGCAATGCATCATCTTCATCGTCTACGTAGGAGCTTGTTAGTTGTGGAAACATTATTGCTCGTCTTCTATGTAATTATTTGATTGTACAAAAATTAAAATAAGATAACTATAATATCATCGTTTAATATTGTACATCATCTTTTACTACAAAAATGGTCTAATATAGTTGAATATAGGCACCATTTAGTATTTCTGAAAGTAATCCAACATGTTTTAGATCATCAGGTAGAAGCTTATTCTGGATTAAATGAGCTATCCAGCCATGCATGTGAAATTAATTTGAATAAACATGTAAACGTTTTTTCTTATCAAATATAGCAGTTGAGACGGCCCCTGATTTGAAACTATCAGTGTTAATTTCTGAACGGGAAGAGGCTCAACACAAAAGCAAAATAGCTGGGAAACAACACATGGGTAGAGAGCTGCGCCTTTCATTTATAGAGTGAGTCTGAAAACCTCGACAACCACCACATCACCTTGTCATTAACCTCGAATGGCAATGTAATGGTGGTATGTTATTCTTTACTAACACAATATTCGATGTACAGTTGCTATGCGGCCGAAAACGCCTATGCAGAGTAGATTCGGAAGAAAAAGTAATTTGTGAAGGGTAGTTCCTCCAGTGTCGTACTAGACTTCACATCAAGGTTTGTTGCATATGTCGAGAATGTCTCATTTGAAAGAGTATTTAATACTGAGTAAGGATATGTCGTTAAAAAATTTAAAACATCGTCATGAGATCCGGCAGCGGTCCGACCAAGGGGGAAAAACCTCATGTGCACCTCCGAGTTAAGTATCACATAAAGTGGTTAAGTGTCATTTCAAATTCCACATCTTTCTGGAAAGTCAAGAATTCAGCTCTATATGTTTTGAGATCTGAAATGTATGGACTGCAGCTGTTCCACGTCATACGAATCTGTTTGTTCTCATCATTTTAATGAACGAAGTTAGAAAGCAGCTACAAATGTCAGTAAAAATCTGAAACCTAATAACTGTTTCTTTCAGTATAAATCAGTCGGTTTAGTGACAAGACAACAGTTATTTTTCTTTCTTTTTACTGTTGTTATTTTACTATGTATAGACGGGCGATGGATTTATCACAGCCTTTCTCTTTCTCTGTTGCTAATCGTTCTTTTAGTTATGGATGCTACTCACTCGAAGTAACGTCATCGAGTAACGTCTGTATCTTATTCATTCGTCTGTTTTCTCTCTTTTCTTTCTATACATAATTCTGATAATTTTAAATAACCCGTTGCAGCTAGCTACTTTTATTAGAAGTTTCAAAGAGAAACATATGCTAGTTACAATGGCCGCTGTAGCGCCCGCTGCATCGGGCTGTAACAAGTAACAGGTCAACAGCGTAGAAAATTTAAAATGAAACTCGACAGAGCTAGCTGCAACACCCATTTTAACGTTAGTTGCAATCTAGCATCTACGCTGACTAGATACATCGGTCTGCTTAGCGGTCATTTCAGCTAGGTCTTATAATGTACACATTACGAAAAATGCCCTAGTTTAAAGCGACCGCTAAATTAGGCGCTGCAACTAGCTTATCTTTCTCTTTGAAACTATATCAGCTAGTTGTAAGTCTAGTCGTAGCGATTCTAAAGCGTCAAGCTCTCGAATTGAATCTCGATGTGTATCTATTCAATAAATAAGGGTCAAACGCGGTTCAAATTATATCCAAATTATGGATTCAAATTACAACAAAACAGTAAATGTTTTCTTTGTTATATTTCATCGATGTTAATTTTAACAAGCATAATTTGATTATGAGAGTTAACAAAAAAGCATAAAAGAGAGCCCAGAACTCCAGTTAGTGACGGTATTACCGATAAGGCAATCGATATCGGGGTACTTCCATTTAGGTCTGCCCACATTACATGACCTAAGAGCCGGAAACAATTCAAGACTCTTCCTGTGTAGAGTATAAAAAGTTACATAGAAATCCATATTTGTTCACTGAAAAAGTCACAGTCTATATGCCTTTTCAGGATGTCAAGTTTCGGTCCTCCTTCTAATAAAGCAACTTTGATAGACTGTAATTTGGATATAATTTGAACCGCGTTTGACCCTTATTTATTGAATAGATACACATCGAGATTCAATTCGAGAGCTTGACGCT